CTTATATATAAGTTTTGGTTTGGTTCTAAATTGATTAAATCTAGGTAAGTCTCAATGACTAAAGGTGGAGGTTGTTTGTTATTTGGATCCAACAGAAGATTAACATCAATATTTTGCCATAACTTTATTATTTGCTCATTTTGTAAGTAGTTTGTATAGAAGGTTTCAATATTTGTTATAATATCTTTATCAAATGACTCATCATTAATGGTAGCAAACTTTGTAGATTTGGAATTACTAATAAGCATTGTTGTTTTAACAAAAAACATTTCTATAAGTTTAGCCGTACTTAAAGCTTTACTGTTTATGAGGGATATAGAGTTTTCATTTATCATATTATCAAGTTGCTCATTATAATTGAGATTATCCATTGGTTTTATTTATGATTATGTAATAATTATATTTATAGTTTATAATAAATGAGAACTTTGTTTATTGACAGATGTATGTGTTTGTTTTTATTCTTTCTTATGTTTTTTTTTTTTTTTTACTTCAATTGATGAAAAGAAAATAAATATATTATTTAATCAAAAATAAGAAAGAAACGAGAAGAGTTATTGAAGTTTCTCTTAAAACTTTTTTTTTTTTGTTAAAATTTAAGATAAGATCTATATTATGAATTCTTGGTTTTTTATTTAATTATATAAATAAACAAAGAAATAAACAACAATAAATATTAAAATTTAATAATATTATATATTTGTTTATATGTGTGTGTGTTTTTTTTTTTAACTCTTCCTTGTTTTTCGTTTCTTATCATTTTAGACAAAAAATAAAAATAATCTTACTATATTTGTGTTAAATATATTTTATTACTCTTTTTTTTTTTTTTTTTTTTAGCCTTTCCCGCTTTTTTATTGCGTAAGAGAAAAAATATATATATATATATATAATTTAGCCCCTTGTGTTATAAAAGTTAGAAACTTGTGGTGGTGGGTGATAACAATAAAAATACAATTTTTTATCGTTTATTTTAATTTTTTTGTTTAATAATTGTTTATCGGTACTTGGCATAATCATATTCAAAAAAATAAATAGAAAACAAACACCTGTTAACAACAAATGATAGCAAATAAAACTTTAATAGTATATATTAATACTATATTTTAGTTAGAATAATAAAAGTAAGTTAAAGTATATTAAATGAACTTCTATAAACCTTCTTTTTTTTTTTTTTTTTTTTTAAATTAATATATATATAGTAAAGAAAACAAATATGTTTCAATCAACTTGTAAAATAAAACATAATAATCACATTAAACCAAGTGTGAAAGTTGAATTATAAATGCATAGGTAACGTATAAACTATATGATCTAAATAAAATAAACAATAATTTTTAGTATCTTAGATTTATGCTGACTCAAAGGACCGATTCAAAAAAAATTGACATCAAGTTTTAACAAGCCATGATAGTATAGTGGTTAGTACTCTTCGTTGTGGCCGAGGCGACCCAGATTCGATTTCTGGTCATGGCAATTAACTTGTTTTATTTTTTGCAGTTTTTACATGATTAAGCACGTGATTATAAGGCATTTTAAGTGATAAAATTTTTTAATATATATATATATATATTCAGAGTTCAATACTTAAAGATGAAAATAGTTTTTTAAATAAGGGAAATGTTTGTTTGTTTTCATTATTATTATTTTACTCATAGTTTCTGTTATTTTTCTTTTTAAAAAAAAAAAAATTTTTTGATCTAACAAAAAAGGTTTTTACTTTTTTTACATTAAATATGTTTTTAAATTAAAAAGTAATCTTAATTCATATATTGTAGGTTCTTTAAATATAATAAATCTAGCTAATGTATAAGTTTACATATACCCCATAATCTATATATTAAAAACCAGAAAGTTTAAAATGACTCGATTATTTGCTGATAAACATGTTTTTAAATATCTTATTTACAAGTACACGTGCAGCCTAGAACTGCCGAATGTACTAAACCAACAAAAAAATTTAACAAGAAAATAAGCCATGATAGTATAGTGGTTAGTACTCTTCGTTGTGGCCGAGGCGACCCAGATTCGATTTCTGGTCATGGCAATTACCTTTTCTTATTTTTTTTTGCATTTTTTTTTTTTATAAAAACGCGTAATAATTGTTTATTTTTTTTGTTTACATTAAACATTTTTTTATTTATTATATTAAATGTTTTTTGTTATAAAGTTTACTATAATGATTAATATTTATCTAATTATAATTTATATATAAATAAAGTTATTTATCTTTGTAAACAAAAATTAAACTTTTAAAATCATAATATTTATTAATTAATCGTTGGAGGTTTTTTATTTTTTTTTTTTGAATTTACTAAATATATATATGTAATAAACGAATTATAAATCATTATAAATAGTTTTATCAATAAATATTATTGATTTAGAAACTAATTTTTTTTCATGCAATTGGCTTTGAATTGTAGTTCTCTGTTTTAATTATCATTATTATTTCTTAATTTTTAATGAATAAGTAATAAAAAATGAAAACAACTAAAAGAGCCCAAATTACAAATAAGGCAACAATGTTTTCAGCACCGAATTTGTAAATGTACAATTCTTTTAATTGAGACAAGTATTGAATCATAACTTTACCACTCAATTTACTTTCACCTTCAGTTCTGACACCGAAACTGAATGGTTGTTCACCAATCAAAGCATCATCAAATGGTAATTTAACTAATAAGTCTAAAGCAATTTTGAAACCTTTAGCATTGATAGCACCTTCAGAAGCTCTAGATAATTCAACTTTTTGAACACCAAAGAAACCAGACATTGGGTCTGAGGCAAGAGTCAATGGTTTAGCTAACATTCTAGCACCACCAGAAAGGACTCTTCTGTATAATGGCCAATCCTTATCAATACCGACACCAGCAGCATATCTAGTACCAATAACAAATGGATGCTTTCTCAACTTGGTGAATAATTCTGGAACATATTCAGGTGGATGTTGTAAATCAGCATCCATACAAATCAAGTATTCACCTTTAGCTTCGTAAAAACCTTTCAAAACAGCAGAAGATAATCCTCTTTCAGTGGTTCTAACAATAATTTTTACATTGTAACCTTTCTTTTGTAAAGCTTCAACTTCTTCAACAGAACCATCTTGAGAGTTATCATCAACAAAGATTAATTCAGTGATCTTAGAACCATCTTCACCTAAAGCCTTGAATAATCTTTCTGTTAATGGTTTGATATTTAGTTTTTCGTGGTAAGCTGGAACAATAACAGAATTTTCAATAGCCATTTTTTATTATTAAAATATATATGTATTTATTTATTGGTTATTGCTAGAGTTAAATGTTATTTTTTAAAAAACTATAAGTTATAAATGTATGTTTTTTTCTTCTTGATTGTTTTTTTTTTTATAGATTCTTGATGAGCTGTTCGCTTTTTTATCAAAAAGAAAAAAAAAAATAAAAGAAAACGAAATTAAAATTAGTTTTTCGGGCATAAGGAAAGACAAACAACCCTTCCAAAAGAAGTTTATAAAGCTTAACTTTTTTTTTTTTTTTTTCTAATAAGGAAGTTAACATGTTATATAACATTCTTTATATAAAATGATTTACAAAAAAAAAAGAGTCATAAATACATTATTACAATTGTTTAATGATTTTTTTGATCTATCTATCTATCTCTTTTCTTAACTCATACACTCAATCCTCCTTTTGGTTTATAAACAATACAGTATTACATCTTATAAAACAATCCCCTATTTTCCCCATTTCCTTACCACTTATATATTCAACAGCATTTTTTAATCTCAAATTAAAATATTCATCTATAGACACCAATTCTCCTTTATACATTGCATTATTGAATTTTAAATGTATTTGTACAACTTCACCATAAAGAGAGACTAAAAAATTGATTGGTAATACAGGAACCACTTTATCATTATTTTCTGTAGTTAGATTTTCAGGTAACAATGGTTTGATATGTTTAGTAGCTTTTTTATTATTGATGGCTGTTTTTTTAACAGTTCCATTATTAGAATTTTTATCTTGAACTTTGGATTTCGGGAGTTTTATGGCAATTTGTTTTTTATTATTAGCTTTTTTTGCAATGCTCTTACCTTGCTTTTTTGCACTACTAGGTTTAACTTTTACTGCTGCTGCCATAAGTATAATGTCAATGTTGAAATTGGTACTTTAATATGTCTTTTAAAAAATTACATTAATAAATAATTTGAAAGTTTATGTATTAATATTCTACTTTCTTTTTTTTTTTTTTGTTTTCTAAAAAAGAAAGTTTCAAAAAAAAAGAAAAAAAAAAAGAAGCAAAAACGCTGGTATGTTTATATCCGAAATATTAAATTTTCGTTTTATTAATTTTAAATTCATTCATCTAAGCTGTTAGCTAAATGAATATATATATATATGTCTGTTTATAACTTTTTCTTTTTCTTTTCTAACATTTAAATAAATTTTATTAAACACATGTCAGCTTTATTTGCTCTTCTTCTTTATTATTTAAAGGAGCTATGTAAGTATCTTTGTATTCCCAATATAAAACAGATTTTACCATTCCTAAAAGAATCAATACTAAACTTACAACATAAACCAATGTCAAAGCATAGAAAAAATTACTATTTCCTGAACCAATAGTAATCCATAAATGGTAAAATACTGGAAGTAAAACAAGACTATGAATAATCAACAGAGTCATAATTAATTTATTTTCAATAATTTTCAAATCAAACCAATAAACAAAAAATAGTAAAATAAGTCCTAGTTCACCAATACTTGGGTATGGTTTAAACAAAGTTATCCAAGTAAACAAGATGAGAAATGCTTGCAATGGATATTTCTTAAATCTTATAAACATAGGCAATACAAATATGTAACAATAACAGTTAAATACAAATTTGAAAAAATCTCTATATTCTTCAAACATCTCAATAAAGAAATACCACCATAATCCTATGTTTGGATATTGCTCTTTAAACAAAGCTTTGGAAAAAATATTATTAATTATGAAAGATGGTTGCATTTTATATGATATAGCCATTAATAATGCTTGCATGGAAACAAATGATACGATAAAGAGTTGTTTATTCTTTGATGTAAAATTAATTAAAATCAAAGAAAGACCTATATTGTAAATGTCCAAATATGTCGCAATTGCAATGAAAAAAGCTGATTTTATAGTATCTATGCTATTTTTTGTCTTTTGAATGTAGTAAATGGCTGCTATTAAACAAAATTGTATAACAACAAACTCTGTTTTCATCAATAAATTGATGTAAGTTAATGGATTTAATAAATATAACATGATTTTGACATTATTATTTTGATTTATTTCCTTTTCATTTTTTTTGTTAATAATTTTTACAATAAAATAAATAGAGCCTAAATCAAATAAACAGAATACATAAAAATGTAAATTCTCAGGTATTAGACTGAAAAACTTAACATATAAGGGTAATTGATTCAAATTAGATCCTTGAGTGATATCTCCTTTATAATTAAGCATGAATATACATTCTTTTAAAGTTTTGTATGAAATAAATGGGGTATTGAATAAAACATCTAAATACTGAAGAAGATTTGTATTAAGATCAAAACCTACTATCCTAGGTATTAAAAAGTATCTTGTGGAAACCACAATAACTAGTGAAACGAAACCAAATATAGCGTTCATATAAATATATTTTTATTTAAATAAAATAAAACACTAGATTAATAACTTTAAAACTTGTAATGTTGAAAAAAAAAAGAGTATAATCTGTATATATGCGTTTGTTGGGTATTATACTATTTTTGTTTTAAGAAAAGAGAAATTTTAATATATTATTTATTGATTCAATTTTGTACATTTACAAATTAAAGAAAACACGTTTATGTGAGACAATTTAGTTGGTTTTTTTTTTTTTTTTTGCTTTGAATCGGATATAATGTGTATGTGAACTTTTCATGAAAAAAATTTTTTTTTTTTTTTTTTAAAACTTTGTTTATGTTATGCGGTGGCGTGTTTATAACAATTAAAAATTTAAATAAAAAATAATATTATTATCTTTTAATTAAAAATGTTTAATAAATATTACAACCAAACATTAAACTTTTCTTTGATTTAAAATAATTATGGATTTTGATTTGAATGAAGACATCAATGGTGTCCGTTTCTCCTGGAACTGTTTCCCACAAACTAAACAAGAATGTGAAAGAAATGTTGTTCCATTATCTTGTTTATATACTCCTTTAAAAGAAATTGAAAACATGCCAATTGCCAACTACAACCCTGTTATTTGTGCTTCTCCTAAATGTAAAGCTATTTTAAATCCATACTGTGTTATTGATATTTCATCAAAGACCTGGGCCTGTAAGTTATGTAACCACAGAAACAACTTACCAACCCAATACCATGCAATCACACAAGATTCTATTCCATTAGAATTGAGTGCTACCACAATTGAATATGCTCACGTTGGTAAACAAGTTTCAATTCCACCAATCTTTTTGTTCATTGTTGATTTGACAACTGATGCTGAAAATTTGGAAGCTTTGAAAGAATCTATCATTACCTCATTGTCATTATTACCACCAAACTTATTAGTTGGTTTGATCACTTATGACAGAAATGTAATGCTTTATGATTTGTCTTGTGAAGGAATTGAGAAGATCAATGTCTTTAGAGGTGACAGAGAATATGAATTATCTCAAATCTCTGAAATTTTATCTGGTGTAAAAGAAAGCAACAGCACCACTGCTTCTATGAATGCTGAATCTTTAAAGAGATTCTTCTTACCATTAGAACAAGTTGAATTCAAGTTGACTGAAATTTTAGATGGTTTGACTAGTGATGAATGGCCTGTTAATGGTGGATGTAGACCTTTGAGAGCTACATCTTCTGCTTTAAACATTGCCACTTTATTAATGGAAAAATGTTACAAGAACAATTCTGGTAGAGTCATCTTATTCTCTTCTGGTCCAGGTACCATGAACCCTGGTATGATTGTTTCTCCAGAATTGAAAGATCCATTAAGATCTCACCATGATATCGATTCTGACAATGCTAAACATTACAAGAAAGCTGAAAAATACTACA